TCCTTCTCCTAAGGATAATGCCTAAACCCTCTCAAACAGCATTTCCTGGTGTTAGGGTTGGCTCAGAGGAGTGAGTCCCCAAAGCTTTTCTGCAGATACCCCAAAGGGAGCAGCAAGGCCTGAGCAGAGTGTGCTGACTCCTGTGCTGGCACTGCGACACATCCAGCAGCAGATAAGATAATGCAGAGCTCTGCTGTAGGCAAAGCATTGAAGAATAGCAAATGGGCTTTAGCAAACCCATCCCCTTTGAGTGTTTGGAGAAAGGAAAGGCTGAGAAGAGCAGCAGCCAAGGAAATCCTCTCTTTTTTTCCCTGCATTGTTCCTCCCAAGAGGTCCTGGTTGGAAATGACCTCACAGATGGCATTTTTCTGGAGGAGCTTTGCTCATGCTGCTCGATGTGACATGAAGGTCTTCCCAGCCCAGTGCTGCTGAGCCTGGAAAATCTGGGGCTTGTCTCTGCTGGGATTTGCTGGGAGGCTCTGTGGGTGTGCTGGAGGGAAATCTCTGTCCTGGCAATGTTGGTGTGGCTTGTGGTGCTTTGCTGTTCCAGTGTGGGATGAGCTGGGCAAGGGCAGGGGAGTCTGGCAGGAGAATTTGGTGTGTGACACAACAAATATGTGGGATAACAGAGAAAAAAGTGTGTGAAAACACTTTCAGCCTGTGGGGTGGCCACAGAATGCTGGATGGGGTGGCCTGGGAGTGGATACTGGGAATACTGGCAGCTCAGCCCTGCCAGGCACCTTCAGGTGTGGCCAGTGAGTATGTTCTGGGTGTTCTGGGTGTTGTGGTGTGGGGGAAAGTTTTCCAGCCAGGCCAGTTGCTGGATGAGGTGTGGGATGTGCTGCCTCACACATCCAACTGGTTCCAGGGAGCACAAGGACTTGTGCCTGCTCTGCTATCCTCCTTGGGCTCTGTTGTTTCCAGTGGCTATGACAATTGAAGGCTATAACTCATTTATTTGCAATCCACATCTCCCTGACAGACAAGGGCCACATAATGGAGAGGATCTCCTGTGAATATTGCTATTTTAAGGCACAAGTCCCTGTCAATCTCTGTCTTTCTCTATACAGATTTCTCTCCCATTATTTCTAGTGCATCCAGGAGGCCAGTGGAGAGTGAATATTTTGTGCTTTTTCGGCTAATTAGTCCATTCCCAGCTCCTATTAAACAACTTCCACTTCCCTCAATGTAAAAAAAAAATCAGGTGGTTGCTTGATTTGGAAAAAATATTAGCTTTCTATTTACTAATTTTTCTGGAAAATCAGGACTTTTCCCAAAGTTTCTTCTAGAATCTTTGACTTTATTGGAGGAGAAAAAAAGACATCTAGATATTTAGGCATTTTGTTTCATCCATGTTCTTTCCAAGCTTCCTGAACTCTCTCCTCTCATCCATTGGAGCCTCTGCATCCCTTGCACTGCTGAGTTCCAGGCTCTGGAAGAGCAGCATGTGCTGGGAACTCAGCAGCAGAGCTGGGAACTCATCAGCAGTTCCCCAGTGCTGGAGGAGAAACCTGTGAAAGCTGAACAAGGATGTCAGAGATGCGTCAGTCTGACCTCAAATGGGTGATTGGTGTTATGTCTGGGGAGTTGGGAGGGACTCGCAGCCATCTGGAAAGGGATGGTTTGTTTGAGGGGAACTTTGAGTGAGAACTGACATTTGCCACCAGATTTCTTGGGGTTTCTGTGAAAACTAGAACCAGAATTCTGCTTGGAACTGCAGTTTCTGGTTCATCACACTGGTAGTTTTTTAAGGGAGGTGATTCTCTCCCTCTGCTCTGCTCTGGTGAGGGCTCACCTGGAATCCTGCACACAGTTCTGGTGTCCCCAATGTAAGGAGGACATGGAACTGATGGAGCAAGTCCAGAGGAGGCCACCAAGTTGCTAAGAGCACTGGAGCATCTCCCCTGTGAGGACAGGCTGAGGGAGTTGGGGCTGTTCAGCCTGGAGAGGAGAAGGTTGTGTGGAGACCTCAGAGCACCTGCAGGAGCTGAAGGGGCTCCAGGGAAGCTGCAGAGGGATCTGTGTTAGGAGCTGCAGGGACAGGACAAGGGGCAATGGGTTCAGATTGAAGGAGGGGAAATTTAGGTTAGATCTTAGCAGAAGTTTTCCCTGTGAGGGTAGTAAGACAGTGGCCCAGGTTGCCCAGGGAGGCTGTGGCTGCCCCAGCCCTGGCAATGTTCATTCCAGGTTGGATG